TGTTGATGCTCAAAATGGTTGGGCCAAGATTGAGTCCAACTTAGTGATGAGGTGTGATGGATGATGGGTGAAGGTTTGGACCTTCAGCGTGTATGTGAGGACTTAGCCAGTTTATGAATATACAAAAGACAAGATATATGTGGTTCACCCTTAATGAATGGGCTACGTCCACAGAGAAGATGTTCTCATTATGATATTGTTTACATTTGTACAAGGGGATTAGACCCAAAGATAAATGGAAGAAGGCCTAGGGCCTAAGGTACAAAGTTTGGAGTCTGGAGCCCAGGAGTCAAGTCCCCGGGTCTGGAGACCCAGGACTCGAAGGCCAGACTAACAGGAGAGTCCTGAAGAGGGAGCCCAGCTCAGTTTCGGATCCCCCTTCTAAGAGGAGAGAAGTCTCCTTTTATAGGTGAAGGGGAGTCTCCACTTCTTGCAGTTTTCCGATGTGGGACTCCTCTTGCTTTGCTTTGCTTCTTGTTGCTTGGTCAGTTACGGTGTCAACAAATCTTTTGAATCACAGAGGGAGCATATCACTGGTGAGATGTAATTCCGTCTTGCATTGTAATTGATTCGATCATTGCATAGTCATTTTGATTCATCTATAAGATTGCTTGTTGTTTCATTTCCTTTCCCTGGTTGCTATGATTTAGGGCCACTGGCAAAAGAAAATTGCAAGAGGGCTTTCTCTGAACAAGGTTGTGATCCATGTTTGAAGCTTTTTGATAGCCCTCCTTCTCTGAGCTCGCATAAATATATGTGTCGCCTATCTGCACCTGTTCCTCCTGTAAGTTGATTAGTTGAACATCAAGCATCCTGTATGGAATTGAGAAACTTGTCATCTTCCAGTATTCTGAATCTCTTACCCTTTTTACCCATTAAAGATACTCTTAGCTGCAATATTATATAGATATGCACAGACATTACTTATATTTTAAGTCGAAGGGTTGCAGGGAAGAACGATGGAGCCATGTGAAGAATTTAAATATGATATAAACTCCAGCAACGAATATCACGTTGGAAATGGTACGGAAGCAATTGCTCTGGATTGTGAAATGGTTGCTGGTGGAAGTGATGGATCACTGGACCTGTGTGCAAGGGTGTGCCTGATTGATGAAGATGAGACTATCCTCTTCCACACTTATATGCAGCCCCAAGATCCTGTCATTAATTACAGGTACTAGTGTGTGATGTTTCTCATCTTTGATTTCTTTCAAGAATTTTGTGAATAGGCCTCTGATCATTCCCACATGTTGACAATGTTTCCATTCCAGATATGAAGTTACTGGGTTAACAGAAGAGCATCTCAGAGATGGCATGCCAGTCCAAAATGTGCAAGATAAAGTTTTGCAAATTTTGTATGGGGCATCATGATCAGAGGCCCATGTGGGGCATAGTTTAGAGGATGATTTGGATTGCTTGAGAATAAACTATCCTGATTACCTGCTTAGGTATATGAGTTTCTTTCTTTTTTTTTCTTCTGTAATCCTCTTCTTGAGATATGTGAATCATGAGCACAGTGTTTCTATAGTTTTTCTAGATCTGATTGGCTAATCATGTCATGTATGCTTTGGTTCTCATACGCACTCTTATTCTTCTCTTCACTCCCTTCTTATTATATAGGCCATAGTGTTTGGGCTGCTTTGTATATTTTTGTAAGATAGATGGTGTCACTGTTTCTTGGACATTTGCATTTATGGCTGTACTTCTTTTCATTCAGGCCAGTCAAGATTATGGCCTTAGTCATGATGAAATTTTGCATAAAGGACCAGCTTTAATATGGCATCTATATCCACTATACAATTGTTCTGGAAATTTTTTAAATGACGTACAATTGATTTTCCTATGCATGTATATATATATATATATATATGACATGCAATTATATCATATCTCCACATCGCATCGCATGAGCCAAAGCCTTAATTAATTAGCATCTGGATCTTTTGATGCATATCAAAGCACCAGATGACCTTGTCAATGAGCGGACAGATTTGGCATTAACAACTGGGAAAGTTTGTTCTCCGTTGTAGTTTGGCTTTGCTCTGCCGGCACCTGTTTCGATGAAAGAAGCCCCATTTTCGAAGATATCTCCTACAGAGTAAAACTTCCAGGATTCTTTATCTCCAATGCTGTCCTTCCTCCAAGTGATCTGTGCGTACATGGAAAATCATTAATTCATTCATTAAGGGCATTGCATTTGAACTTGAATATATACATATATATACATTTGAGTTACCTCTTTCTTGTTTCCCGATTTTGGTGCAATGAAGAGGTTGGCTTCACTCTTAACACTAGGGTTCATGCTTCCCCCAATGGCATACTGCGACCATTCTCTGTAAAGGTTGTTCACAACATGTGCATAACCGTAGCGAATCCTGCATGCATGCAACAGTAGTTTTGAGATGGAATCTCAACTTCCTGTACATATATTACGTACATACGTTGCTAATAGTAATAGCTAGAGGCCTTTACCTTGGCATTCTTTGGTTGCAGTTGGGTCCAAAATGGTTGTACACAACGGTCACCCTCATGTTCTTGTCCCGAAAGTAGCCATCATCATGGCCGAGAAGCATAACCTTGTCCTGGTCTCTGAACCAATTGTTGGAGATGGTGATATGGGTAGATCCGCGAGTAACATCGAGAAGACCGTCCTGGCACTCGTAGAGTGTATTGTGGTCTATCCAAACCTTTGATGCAGTTACCAACCTGATTGCATCTCCATCAACCTGCCCTATTGGTATTATCTTTCCTTCTGGACCCATAACTGAGCTTGGTGGTTGGGGTCGGCAATGATGGATTCGAAGGCCATGGATGATTATATTGCTTGCCTGATCACGTTTAAAATAATCATATAATTAGTTTACATGCATGAAAATGTACATAAAAGATATCTTTATTATAACATGTCGTTCACCCATGTTATAACAGTAGATTAGTAATAGCACGTGGCGGTGTGACCATACCAATTAAATATGTACGTATGTGTGTACGTACCTGAAAGACCAGCAAGCATGCATTACCAGCAATGTGAACACTAGCACCTCTTCCATCAATGGCAGTGAAGCTACTAATGAGAAGTGGTTTGTCAAGCCTAATGCGCATGTCCTTCTGGAAGGTGATCCACTTTTTCCCTTTGATCATGGTAACCCCATATCTCAAAGTTCCCGGTTTGGGGTCCAACGCATTGTCACTTGGGTCCGTGACTTGATAGTATATGACATCTCTTCCTATGTTGTTGCTCATCTTCCCTGAAAATCCCACTGAACATAATGCAAGTTCCTGCCGGTTACTTCTCCAATCCGAGTTCCATCTCCAGCAACCATCGATCACGTTCAATTTCAAGCCATCAACTTTTGTTTTCTTGGCGAAACTCGGGTTTGGAGCGAAGCTGGCAATGGCGATCAAAAGGCCCAGAACAAAGCACCAGATATTGGCATTACCATTGGGGCATCCATGACACGCCATTATATATTATATGTACTTTTCAACTCGCTCATGCACAGAAATAGCTACAGCAAGGTTTGTCTCTTCAACTCTTTACAGATATGAAAGAACGAGAATGGAGAGAGATATTTATAGCCAGATTTAACATTCGTAATGCTCCTAAGTTTGTTTAGAACGTTGTTGGGGATCAGTCGTAATGGTTAGCTAGCTGTCACGAAATCGCTATGGACGGAACGGAAAATATGAAGGTTCTGCAGTTTCACTTCTCATCCTCAAGTTTAGCTCGTTCGTTATCTTTATGCTTTTTTTTGTTAGCTAGCTTTGTTTAACTGTGTTTAGTTGTGGGGCAATGGAGTCCTATAATTTCCAACAACTATGTGCATGCGTACATGTCCTTCCTAGGGATCCCGAGTCTCTACATTTAGACCCTCGCATATATATAATACATCCTATATAGTCAAATAATTATATATGGTGGAAATTCTCCTAAATATTATGGCCTTTTGCTTCTGTTTTGCAAGTCCATTAACTTGTGCATTGGCTTAGCATGGACCGAGTTCAGTCCTGTCCAGTTAAATTTTAGATTTAAATTTCAGAGTTGATAATGAACGTATACGGTTTCTTCAAGAAAAAATAAAGAAATTAGAAAAGACAACATAACTATATAATTTATACGAAAATCTCCAGAGAGCCTATTTGAAGAAAAAAAACCCTCAACTAGCCACTTATCATTTTCTAATTGATTCATAATGTGCTAAAAATAATTCACTTGAAATACAGCATGGAGTTTTTTGAAAGTATTGGACTTGAAGGGTTTTATTTTTTTGTATATATAAAATGTCATTATAATGGACCTATATATGAAAAGCCCAAAACAATGAATGAATGAAGATTTTTTTTTGGTGAACAATGAAAGAAAATTTTTACTACATACCATTCGAACCCGGTCAACTTTCAAGAGATAATCAAGACTTTAGTACAAAAATATTCATCCATTCATTTTTAAATAGAAAAAAAGTGATTTTGTCGGAAAAATAAATGAATATTGTAAGTTATTCATTCATTCACTTTCTAAACCCATTCACTTATATGCTCCTTGATAAGAAAATGGAAAAACATCATTTACTTGTAAATATATATTGGCTATCAAAGGAATTCAAAAGTTGCAAATAACTAGATTGGTGCTGATAATTCTGCTTCATTGAATCAGTGTTTAAGAAAATGATATTAGGAAACACTTTTGAAAGCACCTATTATGCATAAATATAGCAAGCAAACTCGAATTTCCATAGATTCTATACCTATTTGCTTCATTGAATCTCACTTATATGCTCTCGAGTCCACAACCAACCGCTCTATGGCATTGCTTTCATGCTGAATCAGTGGATGACAGGCTTGAGGGGATAAGCTCTCATATTCGACCAGTCAACAGTAGAATCAAGATCGGCATCTAATTCCCCAACGATGCTTCTGCAACAAATGGAATTGGAGGATACATACAGAGAGCTTTATATATAGGAAGTAGAAAGAAATTTGTAAAAAGTCTAATTATATCAGTCCAATTCACTTCTTCCCACAACGGTTCCAATGGGAAACTAAACTAATGTAAATAGAATAAAGTGTTGTTGACACTTACATGTTGTCACCTCTGATTATATACAACCCCAACACGAGTTGCTGAACACCCTCCTGCCAGTCAGCCAGAAATAACAAGAAGTTACCACAGCTAGCGCCATATGTGTATATATGTATATATGTATATGTTTTGTATATACTACTTTGGCAACCATATGTATTATAAACCCCCATGAGCAGGGTAATGTCCTGAGGAAAATAACAAATGCCTGCCGCGGCCATTTAGCATTGCTTTGGATTAGCCAAAATTGGAAAACTGAGAATAATATCGACTTAACTTCCATAAGATAGTTTCCTAGCTAAATCCTTTTCTATTTGTCCAATTACTTAAGCCATAAAGAGTAAACAAACAAAGGTGCAATGATGCTTGTTACAGGGAAGATGACGCAAACCTTTGTAGAGAAAACACGTTCATGAGATTCATCGAGAATGATATTAGTAGCCTGGTCGAAGCCTTTCAAGACTCCCTGAATTAATTGGCAACAAAAAATTGTTAACAAAACTAAACTAATTCGGTTAATAACAAGTAAAAGGTGCAATGGAGTGTTAGTGCATAATATACCACAATATTCCGTCCATCATTTGTGATAACTGAAATTGTTTCTGCACATAACATAGAAATGCTTTAAACAGTTAGAGAGAGAGAGATTTGAAATGCTCACAGCATATATAATGCCTAGGCTGGCTCATGCCCTGCCTTAAATGGGGTATAAAATTTGGGCATAGGATAGATATAAAAACTATGTTCATGCACAGTATAGTAATCAACAACAACATTGATATTTGATACAAGCAAGTAATAATAATGGATAGTCGGGTAGAATTTCCATACGATCAACAAGTGACTCAAGACCAGGGCCACTGGACATATTTCAATTCTGAACAATCTTCTCTTCTCTGCAAGCAATACTGTTAATCAACAAACTTTTCTCTTTTCTGCAACACAGAGTGGGAGAGACAGAGAGAGAGAGAGAGAGAGATTCAGAGTCTAAAAGGAAACAAAATACATGACAACACTAAAATAATTCTTCTTCTATTAGGATATTTCTAAAGTATTGAATTTATATCCAATATACCTCGTGGAGCAACCAAGTCAGATCAAATTTTAAATAAAATAAAATAAAAATAAAAATACCTCGTGCAGCAGCAGAGAAGAAGAAGAAACGCTGGACCTGGACCTGTTGCTGCGCGCGATGTTCCTTGGAGCAGATACAGTCGAGAAGGTTAGGTTGAGTTCTTCTTCTTTCTTCTTTTTCTCTTTCTCTTTCTTTTACTTCTGCCGCCGAAACCCAAATGTAAAAACCTAGCTCTCGAGAGAAGAAGAGGGATGTTACAGGTTGAAGGTTTATATTTACGATTTTTACCTCACTTTTTATACCATTTGCAAAAAGACCACAAATATTCCTGGATATTTTCAAAATGACCCAGCGCTGTATATTTTCTATTTGTAGGGTCTAGCCGCGCGGCTATACTTTTGAAATATTCTATTCACAGGGTATAGCCGAGCGGCTATACTGTTGAAATAATACAAATTTAGTATCTTTAAGCCAATAGTTTAAGTACTGTATAAATAGTAAATTTGATAGTATAGCCGACCGGCTATTCTCCATAAATAGTATAATAGGTAGTATAGCCGCGCGGCCATACGCCATAGTAAAATATTTTAAATGATTATCCGCACGGCTATACTCTATAAATAGTATATGTAATAGTATAGCCGGGCGGCTATACCCCATAAATAGAATATTTTAAAAGTATAGCCAATCGGCTAGACTCCATAAAATAGCGTAATCTCTATTTCTCTTTTTTAATTAGTTTAATTAGTAGTTATGTTTTAATTATTATTTACTTAGTGCATAATTAGTATTTAAATATTTATCAAAGAAAAATATATAAAAAAAATTAAATGTTTTTTGTTAAGTAAGATAATTTATGAAGTTAATTAAAATATTTAATACTAATTATTAACTATAGAAATAATAATTAAAAGATAATTAATAATGAAAGTGATTAAATAAAGCTAAGATATTATTTAATTATTAAAAAGTAATTTTTTTTTATAAAGTTATTGACCTAAAGATACTAAGTTTATATTTATTTTCAATAAAATATATATATATATATATAATTAGTTTCTTTATTTTAATTTTTTGGCCAACTTCTTCAATTTAATATATCTAATTAAGTAATATCTTAGTCATCTTTATTGAATATTTAAATATTTTATTGATTTTATGAATTACTTAATAAATAGTAATTAATTATTTTAAATTATTTTGTGATCTTTTTTTTAATACTAAATAATAATTAAAACATAATATACTAAATAATTAGAACGTTTTAAAAGTACTTTCGGAGTGGAGTCTCAGAGAGTAGTGGATATTACTACCGTCGATAGTTGTCCAGATCAAGAATATGTCATTTGTTGGATAGTTTTTTCGAGATCAAGGATATCTCATGATTCATTAAACCAGTCCCATGGAAACTGAGAATGAGAAGGAAAAAGCAGCGGGTGGAGCTGATGTGATGGTCATTTGTTTTGCTAATCCAGTCCCATGGAAACATAAAATATATTAACACATAGAGACAGTTTGAATTTGTGAATAAATTGAAGATCTTTAATGTATCTTTCAGGGACGTGTAATGGATGTTGCAATTATTTATTTCAAAGCCTTATGATTTCATCATATATTGACATATTCTGGTGGTTTCAAAGCCTTATGATTCATTTTTCAGTGATGAGAATCTGGAAGCCATGGCTGTCAAGAAAGAACCCTCGTCGATGGAGGAAGTTCATAATGATGAGGTGCTTAATAGTTGCAATTTTCAATAAAGTAATTATTCATTGACGACCCCCAAAAAAGTTGTACTTTCATTTCAGTTCTTCAAAAAGATAATTCATTTATGACAAAACTTTTCGAGTTACTATCTCGTTACTATATTAACCTCTAGTTACTATCTTGTTACTATATTAACCTTAAGATGAATTGTTTTAACCAATTTGAAGAAGAAGCAATGTGCAATAAAATCCTAAATAAAGTAAAACTACTGGTTATTAGGAAAATAATAGTATAACATGTCTTTTATTAATTAAAAATATTTAAAAAAACAAAAGAAAATTAAAAGGGGACATGAAGATAATTCACTTAAGACCCAACATGAGCACGAGATGGCAGGCTCATTTTGGAGACATGGCAAAACGGGAATGTTGAGGCAATATAATGTAATACTCCCCTCTCCTTTTTCCTATTGATAATAGTGAATGACCAAAAAAAAAGAGCAAGCATTACAATTAATAAAACTAAATTATCAAATTAACCATCAATATTTGCATTCTTGCAGAGAAACCATTTGTCCAATATTCCCATTGCATTACTTCTGTGCTCTATTTGTACTCTATCCATGGCCATTCTAATTAATTTTATTTATTTATTTGTAATTTTTATAAAAAATGCTAATTAAACTTTAACTACCATTGCAATTTCTCTAATTATTGTAAAGAATTAATACCTTGATGAATCAAAACATATTCAACAATATTGATCAATTAAAACGCAAATGCATAGCAAACAATTGATCCATTTTCTCCAAAAGCAATAATCGACACAAAAACATTTATTACAATTCCGAACCTTACGTACGTAAAGTCTGCACAACATGACCAGGGACCGTCAAGATTTGACCACGTGCCGATCAGGTCGAAACACGAACCACATGATGAGCGCTGATGTGGTCCAATCCGGCAGCTCCTTCTGGCACAAAGCAGTCGATGGCCATCCCATCCAACGCTCCACATTTCTCCAGCTTGTTAACTTCCTCAGGTCGCGCTTCCATCATCAACGGTGGAGATTCGCCGCCAAAGATCTCACCGGCGTCGGAGATCGACTTCGATTTCTCATGATCTGTATCTGCATTAATCTCCATCAACAAAACCCTAGCTCTCTCCGCCACCGAATTTGCCCACATAGGCGAAGGTGCCGCCGGCGCCGGCGAGATAGACGGAGATCCAGTATTCACCGAAGATGGTGCGATCACTGGAGAGAGATCTGTACCGTTGAAGTCAGACGTGGACATGGGCTCGACCTTTTGAACCGGCGAGTGGGAGGAACCGTAGGGAACAAGAGAGGCGAGGCTGAGAATGCCGCCGAGGCCGTGAACAGCCAGGTGGTGGGAGTAGAAGAGGCCGGGCAAAACGACGTCGACTCCGGAGACGGAGAGGGGGCGGGCGGAGACGAGGCGGAGAGCGCTGGAGGGGAGGAGCGTGGGGAGGAAGGAGCCAGCGGCGAGCGAGCGGAGGTTGGAGAGCGAGAGGCGGAGAGGGACGACGTGGAGGCGGAGGGTGTCGGTGTAGGACGACGCCGTTTGGATCATGTCGAGCGCGAAGAGGGAGGCGTCGGTGGGAGCGAAGATCGTGAAGGACGAGTTCGCCGGGAGCGTGAGGAGCAGCCACTGGAGATCTGAAGTCGCCATGGCGTTGCACATCAGGTTGTAGCCGTGGCCTCGGAGCACTCGCTGCATCGAATCGTACTCTCGGGGTGTGAGGGAGACAACGCCGTCGGGGAGCATGATCAAGGCGATGAGCACAAGGAGGAGGATGGTGAGTGAGAGTGTACGGAATTTGAGCGCCATTGAAGCAAAATCAAGAAACTGAGAGCTGCTGTTTTTCAAGAAACAGAGAATGATGAAGACGAAATGGTTTTGGCGGGCTTTTGATTTCTTGTTGTAACAACTTGGTGGTACCTGCTGGTAGATATTTATATTACGAATTTGCCATCTTCTTCAATGACGATCATAGCCCTCACTTGATTGCCCGTTCAACTTTTACTAGAAGGATAGAAATGTCATTTTAATATTTCTCGCACACTGGAGAGCGGAGCCGTTAGGTTGGTTACGTTTTGCCATCTTTCACAACCGTGTTGCTTGGTGCATTGGTTTGGAGCTGGCGCTGCAAGTGGGAGGTAGAGGGTGTTCGAAAATCCTTACCTTCAACATTTCTCAATTATTAACATTTTTACACCATTCTCGATTATTAACATTTTTACACCGTGGTTCAGAGAAACCGGTGGTTTGGTTATTTGCAAACCGCAAACCTAACCGAATAGACCGGTTTGGTTTGGTTATCCACCGAATTTCAAAAAATAAAAATAAAACACCGGACCAAATCAAGCAGATCGGTTTTGGCCAATTTTTGAGTTGAAATGCCCAATCCTAAACCCTAGTACAAGCGATTTGATGAGCTGAATAATGCCCCGTTTGGTAAAAGTAAATATCTTGATTATTTTAAACGCTTATTTACACCATTGCCCCCTCAAACTTAAAGTGGCCTACTTACCCCGTTTGAACGTGGTTTGGTGACCCACTTTGCCCTTTGTCACCAATTTTGTCCAAAAGTCTGTTAACTTTGATGACATGACAGAGTTATTTTTGTAATTTTGTACACATTAATCATTATCCACTAATTAAATTGGTGACATATAATTAAATATTTTAATAATTAAAAATAAAAACATAATAAACTATATTAAACAATTCTTTAAACAAAATTTAAAATTTAAAATTTTAAAATATAGAGAAAAAAATCCATACTCTCTCATTCTCTTCCTCTTTCCCCCCCTCTCTCTGTCTTTAGACGCGCCTCATCCTCCGACCATCTTCTCAAAAACAAAAACACCAAACATCCGCCAACTAGTCCCGTATACGGCATATGTCTAGCCACAACCTCTTGCAACAAATCCAATCCAAACCCCCCACCCAATCACCCAACCTACAGCACACACTCATAACTTGACATTTTTCTGTATAAATTTCAATAGCTCCACCCTCTTTCAGCACCTCCCCAACCCTCAAAGCCATCCACAATCTGTTAATATATCTCTTGCAAATTAATAGATCCAGATAGACAATTTTGAAATTCAACATTCAATTACATGCGCAAAATAGTATACAATCCAACCTCATAGCCATATAATCAGATCCCATAAGAACCTATTAAGTTATCAGCTAACCATAACATCTAATCCTCATGTGTCAAACACCGCATACGAGGCCTAAAACTCATTTCCATTTCCTCCTCCTATCTCCCTTTCAAATCCATTTCCCACTGTCAATTTCTTCGCAACACCCCAATTAAAGAGGTGCTCTAGGGTGGGTTGGGGCTACTGGGTTTGAGGGTTGAGGAGGTGTGCATGTTAGGGAGATCGAGGTGGGGCTGTGTGGGTGGGGAGGCAGATGAGGCTAGGTGGGTAGGGTTGATATGCGGAGGATAGGGATGGGTTTGTGAGATAGGTTGGGTGTGGCTGGTCAAGGGATAAGAAGGGACGATGGCTGGGGAGGCTGAGATGGGGGTAGGATGGGTTTGTTTCTTCCAAGGGTATTTGCATGAGAGGAGAAAGGTGTGTGTGGATGGGTTTGCTCTGGGTTGCTTTTCAAAGTTGCTTTCAAAAGAAGTAGAGATGAACTTTTAATTAATTTTTTTAATTCCCAAAATACCATCATTAATTTTTAAAAATGACACCACCTCCACCACCACCATCACCCCCACCACTACAACATCCTCCACCACCACTACCACCGCACCGTAATTGCCACCCCCACCTCCTCCTCAACCTCCACCACCTCTACCATCACCATCACCACCACTGCCCCTCCACCCCCACCTCCACAATCGCCATCTCCACCACAATCACTACCACAACCACCACCTCCTCCTTTATCACCATCACCACCTTCACCTCCATCTCTTTCACCACCACTTCAACCATCACCACCACTACCACCACATGATTAACGCATAACACTTTCAACATCATGTCTATTTTAGTTATTATTCATAGTTATAACAATTTTATATTAAAATTTACCAAACAGTTTTGACACTACTTTTTGTACTAACAACACTTTAAAAATATTGTTTACCAAATATGGAGCTGCTTTACTTTATAGCTAATTATTTTCAAAGTACAACAGAAACAATTTTTTTTAAAAAAATAACAGCAATTTCAAACTGGCCCTAAGACCTAGGGTCCTAATATTTTGGAGCGTTCAGTCCAATAAGAATTTTTTTTACAAGATTGTAGCTCGATAAGCAGTGACGGAGCCAGGAATCTTACCACAAGGGGTCTTAGTGTAAAAGTCCCAATAAAAATTTTGGCCAAGAGGACACCAGTTATTCAGCTCTTTAATTACACACTAATGTACCAGCAACTGAGATCTTTATACACTAGAATTTAGTCTCATAAACGCACATACAAAACATGCATAAATACACACTGTATGAGGCAGACCTTACATGGCTTTTATTATTCTTTAAGGACAAATAAGGCGTTCTGTGCATTATGAAAGATTGGCAGTTTATATTATATTCACGCTGGACTGGACCTAGTCATTTTTTGGTGAGCTTAAAGTGTGTCTAGGATTGGATATGGCCATTGGATCCAAGTCCCAAATAATTAGGGCTTAGAAACCCAACCCCAGACATGAGTTTCGAAGCCAGAGAGCACGCCTCCAGCTATCTCTCTTCTTCTTCTCTCTCTCTTCCCCTCTGCTCTTCTCGTCTTCTCTTTCTTCTCTTTCTTCTCTGTTCTCTCCTCTCTCTTCTCTCCTCTCTCTTCTCTCGCTTCTCTGTTCTCTCTTCCCCTCTTCTCTTCTCCACCGTTTCAAAGGAAGCCTTTACCGGCTTGCTCGGTTGAGTACTGAGTGGCCCACCACCGCCTCATGGTACCCAACAAAGATTTTATAAGAATACACTCTCAGTAGTGAGCTTGGTTCTTTCTTTCAATTGATTTTGTATCTCAAGCTTGGCCTTTGGAGACTCCTTTGAGGTTAGTTCTCTGTTCTTGAAAACCAATTAATTAATGTCCATTCCATAATGCATGCATGTTTTGATGGGTTTGGATTATCAAATAATTCAACTTGATTGGATCTTGAAGCATTCTCCGTCAGTTCTTGGATTTGTTTTCCGGGAATTGCTCTTCTTGCGGCGAACAGATTCGAGTATTTTCTTACATGCTAGTCTCATATCTGTTTGGTTGCTGAAGAAACAAGTGGGAATGAGAATCAAATTGAATCCATTGAATATCACTTTTTATTTGCCTTTCAGAAATCGAAAACCCACCTTTCATTTTGTTTGGTAAATTATTGAGATAACCAACTGCTGAATTTTGAAGGATTGGAAACACAGTAATATATTTGGTTTCCTATATTCTTTTGGAGCATTGTTATAATGATATGTATTATTAATTGTAATTGGGAAACTGTATACAACAAACTTGATTTTTAAACCACTTCTTAATTGTCAATTATCATTCTGTAAATTGACCTCATTTACAGTTCTTTATTTGGGTGGTTGGAATATTTCTATTTGGTTTCATTTGATAGAGTAGTAAAGTAAATGGGTTCTTCTTATCTGTTATTGGTCACCTGGGAGAGGTGGAAATAATTGATTACTGCCCTTTTGCAGATGATGAATGGTTCAAATCTGGTGGTTGAATTGCAGGGTGTTAAGCACTATTAGAATTGCATCTGTTAGAATTAGAGAAACAATGTTTATGTTTGAGTGTGTTAGTTTATCGGTGCTGGAAATGAAGGATACGCTGGGCATTTTCAATTTGAAAAAAAAAAATTCAGACCTGGCCCAAAACGAGGTCCAGGTCATTTAAATAAATAAAAAGGACCCGCGTGCACAGCCTTCTTCTTCAGGTCGCTAGGTCATTTAAATAAATAAAAAGGACCTGCACGCACAGCCTTCTTTTTCAGGTCGCACAGCACCCTTCTTTCTTCTTCAGTCATTTAGTCGAGCACTTGGTGTGCAGCTCCAAGGGACCTCTAAGCTTATTTCCATAGCTTCCAAGAGGTCGTGCGACCCCACTGACCCCACTGTGGCTCCGCCACTGATTGGCACGTATCGAGCCGTATAGTATCCGTATACGTATCGGCCACTCATCAGTAAGTTAACTAGTTTCATTGCATTTCTGATTTTCGGGTTTCCAAGTACTCTAATTTTCTGAAATTAGGGTTTTTCTCTGTCGTTCTATGAGATTGGGGCTTTGTGTTCCTTGCGGCTTTTAGGTTGAGTAGAGAAAGGGAAAGAGAGAGTGAGTGAGAGATAGAGGGAGAGAGTGATGGGTTTCGTAGGGTGATCTGGTGTTTCTCCTAGTTTTGCTGCAATACCAGTCTATTTTCTGTGGCAGCTGGCTCATGACTCTGTTATTTTATGCTCTGTTCTTTCTTTTTAAGTTTCGTATTAGTACTTAAAATTTATATACTGATATTGAGATAATAATTATGATCTATCTGCTCTCAGCCTCTCAGCTCTCTCGCCGTCACCTTTACTAAGACCTCTCTCTCTGTCAATGGCGGTGGACAAAGACAAGCTTCAGGAAGCCGCTCCCATTGCTCGTTTCCACAAGATTGTTCTCGGTTGGGACTATTACGGCCTCCTCACAGAGTTAACTGTAAATTCTCTTTCTCTCTCTGTCATATATATATTATTGATTTTTTATATTAAATTGATGCTTTTGAAATTTTTTTTGGGAACGAGAAGAAGAATGAGAAGAAGAATAAGAAGAAGAATAAGGGACAGATAGATGACGGTTTAGGAATGGGAAAAGTGAAAGACACCTACAAAGATGTGGATGACTATATCTCTACTTATGAACCCCTTCTTTTTGAAGAAGTCAAAGCTCAGATTATTCAGAGCAAAGACGAGAATCAATGTATTCATTTTCTTTTCGTCTTTCCCTTTTCTGTGTGGTTTCTGAGAGAATTCTGTTCATCACTCAATTTATGCTGGTTTTGAGTTTCAACAGTCTTAAACATTTATCCTGGGATTAGGTATATTTTTGTGAATTTACTCTCACTCTTAATTTGTTTCTGTATGGAACACTGCAGTACTAAACCCCAAGAGAAATTTGGTTGTGGCGTGCACTGAAGTTGATGGGTTTCACTTAGCAACTCTTACCTATGAGAAGATCGACATGGATGACAAGGAAGCAATATCACAGAATGATCTTTTGCTTCTTTTGAAACCAAATGTAATCAAATTCAACTGATTGTGTTTAATTATCTGTTGTCTCTCTTGCATTTGTCACATAGTGTTCCCCAAGCTGTACCATACTCTTTTGTTCCATTATTAGGAAAATAGTTATGGGCTCAGTAATCTATTAGCATAACAAATTTGGAATAATTTTGATTATGTACGGTTTTTCAAATTTGATTTCTGGAAAATGAATCTTGGGACACTGTTTTTATTGTTGGTGGAATATTGAGTGGTTAGGCTTGGTTATATAACAAGACATGGTTTATGGTGGGAATGATAGGTTTCAGTTTTGCACTGTAGGTTCCATTTAGCAGAAAAAAGACTCTTCATGTAAGACAATTAATAAATTTATATTAGGGTTCCTTACTCTTTTCATGGAATTTGTTATTACAGCATCAAGACAAGGAAGAACTCCCAACAGTCTATGCTTTTGCATTGGTAGAAAGTCGTCAGGCGAGTTCTTTTAGGATTAGAATGTATTTGGCCGGAGAAGTCAAAAACTTGAAGACAGATGCAGTTGAAACTTGTCCAAGGTTGTTAAACGTAAAGTCATTAGTTACTTCTAGTATTGAAGGAGAGAGGTTTTTGGTCACTCGAAAGGTAATGCTTTTAGTAACTATGTACTTTTCTTTTGCTGCATGATGTTTTTTTTCTTTTTGTACAGATCTCTTTCTGCTTATACAGATTGAAAAATATATGAGTACAGCTCTTGTAATGTGGATGACATGGTTTTTTAAATTGATATATATATATATGTATGTATGTATGGATGACAGCTCAATAGAAACTCACTATATATATAGTGAGCTTCTATTGAGGGACACCCTTGTAGGGCCCACCACACATTGTTTTTCAATGATCCGAACCTTTTAATTTTTAGCTATTCCCTCAAAGATCATATCTGCAAAAAATCACTTGAATATATATATATAGGTGATCCTGTGCCTGAATGTTCTTTTAGGAGATCCTTATTTTTGTAAGTAGTTAAGCTATTGGATTTAAATAAGAATCTTACAAGTTCAGAAAATTTCATGCCTTTTAGTTTTCCTACATTCACATTTTCCTTATTCAACAAAGTAGCCTTCATTTCTTTGGTCATTTGATTTGCGATTCTTGCACTATTTTGTCGATGGATAATTTTAAATTAGGTCAAGCTCTATCAATAAGAGTTAATAAATCCTGCAACTGAATCTATGCAATTGCAATCTTCCATTATAAGTTGAATTTTACATGTCAAGCTCTAGTGGAGAGAAACCGACATGTAAGGGGTAGTGTTACAGCATCAAATAATTGTTGGTCCATATCCGAGCAGCTTAAGTTCCTGGGAATAGTGGTAAACAGACAGACTTTATTTGGAACTATTGAAACTGTCTGTTTTCTTGTTCTGTGTATTTGTTTCAGGCATTGATGTTCTCTTTTATTTAAAGACATAAATTTCTCTTGTTTAGTCCTCACATGGTTTTGGTGAATGTAATATATATTTCAGATTTGCAGTTTATCAACTATTGCTCGTGAATATGTAGCTCTATGGTCAATTGGCTCTCTGCCCTTTAAGGATATAATTCTTGGAGCTGCTGAGAAAAATATCGATTCAGAAGGCCAAGCCTGGAAAATTTCTAGGCCTCTGGAGGAATTTATAAAAGACAATCTTAATGAATCACAACAAAACGCCATACAAGTGAGTTGCTACTAAAGTTTTCCATGTATTTGTTGTTTTGCAGTTTTCTTTTTTGCAAACTTCTCATATATGATCCTGGCATGTTTTGGGCATTGTGTATGGAATTTGGTTATTTTGACCTTGTTAAAGATGTTGCTTGTGTATAGTAGTCTTGTAAAAACCCTCGAGATGTTTCAACTCTGCGTGTGTGTTTGTGTTTGGAGCTTTATCTCTGTTGAATTTCTGTAAAAGGATTTTGCTTCTTATATTAATGAAAGAGCATTAATGTTTGCTGCAGGCCGGTCTATCGCGTAAACCATTTATCCTGATACAGGTTCTCTTTATGTCTTTTTGGCAATTATTTTAGATGTATATAATAATACAAGCTTGTTACTTCTTTCTATCTCACTGTTTCTTGATGAAGATTCCAGCTTTCCAATTCAATATCTCTAACATCGTCCTAGGCATAGTTGTGGTCGATTATTTTACGGCTATTTTGAAATCTTGTTTAGATTAAATAGAGTATCAGTTTGCTAGTTTAGTGAATAATGCTGTGAGTTTGATAATGATCGAGTGACATTGCTCTTCTGCCCAAACCAAGGAATTAATAAAGATTGTAATTGAAGCTAATGGCAAGGTAAGAGCAAAGCCTGAGGGAACCTATTAATAGCAACTTGACTATATGGTGCGGTTTCCTTGAGTATGTGACTTTTTGAGTAACATACATTAGTTGGCGAAATTAGTACTTATGGTTTTCCTATGCATTTTGTTCTAGTATTCCCAAATGTCCTAAAACAACTCAAGAGAAGTTTGCACTATCTACTACATTAGTGTGATAGCTATATTAGTGAGATTGCTTTATTTAGTCTTTCCCTCCTTTGCCAAGGTCTGAGGACTAATTTGCTGTATGGCTGACAGAAGATTGCTAGCAATTTGGGCTTCATAAAGGCAAATTGCAGCTTACAATCTGAACTGAGGATGGGTTTTTGGAGTTAGCTCATCCCCTGTGGGCTCATGACCCTTTCCCAACCATTGTAGCATGTGTATTGCCTAGGGCCTAAGGGCATGATTGAGTTGAAATTTTAAGTGGTACTCAATAAAATATAGCGTAATTTTTATTGTGAGAGTTGACACTAAATGGAATGTATAAACCAATGCTTCCATAGATTAGATCATGGTGTACAATTATAGCTTCTATATCTGTCTATTTGCGTTGTTGCCTGGATAAAGAAAGAAAAAGAGTCAAAGAAGGCATCAATTAAAATAAAGATTTAGTTGACAACTCTTGTCAAATCCTGCAACAGAAAATAGAGGTAAAAACTAGCAAAACATATTGTGGACACTACACGTGTCTTCTTGTAGTTAGATCTGCAAGTGCATTGATGTAGAGTGTAGAAGAATTTTGAGAGGTAAAGAAAAAGATGTAGAAGAAGTGGAAGAAGGGTGAAGCAAAAGGATGGGGAGGAAGGGAGGGGGAAAAGTAGGGTCAATTTTATTCCTATAATCTCAATATACCTGCCAAAACTAATGTCCAACCACAATAAGGCAATTTTTTCGTTTTTAAAAAAAAGGAAGGCATATTTATGTAGCAAGTCCAAAAATAATAAAAAGTCTCCAATTACAGTTCAAACAATAAAAGTAAATCATTCTGAAAAATTAAACAAACGAAGTCTAAATTCCCTCCTGTTCATAGGACTGAAATTGTAGAAATTGTATGAATTTGTCTGTTATAGTCCTGTTAGTCATATTTAATTATCTGAAGTTTATGGTTATTATGAAATTCAAATTGCCGTTCTGTCCTAAAAATAGCGTGGTCAGTTTGTAAGAAGGAAATATGGGGTAGTATGGCCAAGTATCCCCTCTGTGTATTTCATTGTGTCTGTGGATGTAGTGTATAGCCTGTCCTCTAAAGGTTTTATGCATGTTGTTATTGAGTTAAAGTTAATTTCTTGTGCTGGATATATACGTTGATGACAAAAATGTTTCTTTAATTCATACTAGTCTGTTTTTTTAACCTTTTTTTCCTCTTAAATTAGCTTGCTTGTTGCTTATCTACATAATTTCATGGCTTCCTTGATGCTTTTGTTTATTATTTAATTGTATCTAAAGGAATAAGGAATAGAGCTATTATGAGGATAAGCTATCTACATTTTCTTTCAATAAGTGTAAGATTGTGTTCTCATGTACTTATAGTATGTGGATGCTGATTTCAAGCTTCCATTTAGGGTCCTCCAGGGACAGGGAAGACACAAACTATCCTTGGGCTTCTTAGTGCCATTTTGCATGCAACACCAGCAAGAGTGCACTCCAGGTTAAAACTATCCCTCTTTCCAACGCTTGTAATAATTCTTGTCAACCATTAAGAAAATCCTAGGAACTTGGAGAAAAGAAATTATGCCTAGGAATAGACTCTTTTTGTGGTTGTGAGACATGAAGAATTGGGTATTACCCATCTGTACTTTTTAAATCTCAATTCTCTTTAGCTTATATGTAGCTTCCTTCTTTTGCAGCAGCGGGTCACAAACCATAAAGCGTCGGCAAAAGTTAACTGTTCAGGAGAAGTATGTATTTACTGAATTCTTCTTTGCATATTTGATGATGATATTTGGAGTTGTCCGTTTATAATATATTATCTTGAATGACTATCTTTATATATATTTTTCGTGCTGCTTTTTTGGTGAGAAAAGTTAGATTAATAATTTATTGAGATTGAGAGAAAAGTACAATGATATAGAGCAGTAAGGGGAGGATTAAGAGGGATATGTGTAAGTGAAAGCAGTCAATACAGATACTGAAACAACTGAAATGGTCGAAGATAAAGGAAAATATTGATGAATTAGATTTCTAGAATCATTGTGGTAGGAACAAGAATCGCTCCTTATTGAAAAAAATAAGGCCGCAAACCTTAGAATTGTGAATTACTCAGAAGAAATGGATAATCTCGAAATATTGTTCATTGCCTCCAAATAACAAACTTACATGCTGCATATAGAGGTGTTACCTTCACTGACTTTGAAATAGTAAGCAGAGGCATAGAAAATGGGAAGGCTAGTCCTCATTATTTGAGATTTAAATATCCTATGTAACAATCGTACATCCAAATCATAGGTGCTTGCAATCTTTCCTGAAGAAATGTTGAGGTGTTTGGACTTTGATTCAACATCATAGCAGGCGCAGCCCTTATATTAATATGTAATGTTCCATGGGTTATAGTAATCTTTTGTACTTTTTCAGATTCCATCATTGGCGATTAGCATCTCCCTGGCTTAGTGGTTGCAATCCTAGAGAGGAAATAATGCCTGTTAATGGTGATGATGGTTTTTTTCCGACCACTGGAAATGAGTTAGTAAGTGCAAGTCTTTGCATTAAATTATTGTAATCTGAGATAGCCCTGTCTGCTAACCATATGCAATTTTCAGAAACCAGAAGTAGTCAATTCTAGTCGTAAATACCGCGTACGTGTCCTTGTGTGTGCTCCTTCAAACTCTGCCCTCGATGAGATTGTGTTGCGTGTTCTGAACAGTGGTACAATTCTCTTCTCTCTTACACTTCCCAGGCTCTTTCCACTAAATTATTCATGCTCCTGATCTTTGGTACACTGCTGGGTACATTTTCAGTTTCTTTGTAAAACGTTCTATGTTGATAAAAAATTCTCTTGTAGCTTGATTCCAAGTTGCATAATTTTTATTCTGTCCAGACAAAGTATAATCCAATAGTAGTGTGTGTGTGTGTGTGTGTATGCGTGCTTAGATGTGAAAATATTCTAAACCTAAACAGGACTTGTTAACTTATCGTGTCCAAGTACATATATCCAAACTGATTCAATCAATCCCCTTCTATTGAGGGATCCCTCAAATAAGAGGGACACCCTTTAAGTCTAAATTCATAGATCATCCTTGCCAAAAATTAGACAAATCGGAAACCGTTTCGATATCCAATTGTGTCCTACAAAATCAATGAACACGGTGCTTCAAGAAAGTACTAAAATTTCAATAATTCAATTGAGTGGTCAAATGATATTGGATTCAAGTGATTTTTTGTAGAGATGATCTTTAAATGAGTATCTACAAAATAGACGGTTTGGATTAGTAAAATACAATACGGAGTGGGCCCTACAAAGGTGTCCATCAAATAAGCTTATTTGAGGGATCCCTCAATGGAAGCTTTCTGATATATATATATACACATACATACATACACAATATCCCGATCTCTTGGACTACAGGGGTCCAAGAGATTTGTGGTCACTCACCGTTGGATGTAAATTCAACGGTTCACTCACTCTTGCACTCCATTTAAGAAACTTTTTTGAACAATTGGATTAATATCCAACGGTGGGTGACCACAATCTCTTGGACTCCTGTGGTCCAAGAGATCGGGACTGTACATACACATACAGTTATTCTCTCATCCGGATGTTTGCATGTTATTATCGTGTGGATGCCATTGTAAATAGTGAGGAAAGTAGGGAGGGGCAATAGAAAATACATGGCGGCCGAACAATAATAACTTCCGGACGTCCGCTTAGGAGAATTTCTGTATATATATATACCAAACAAAACATAATAAACATATTGATTTATTGTCATAAGAAAAAGATTTATAGATAAAAAAATTTAGGCTGTTTAAGATTTTAGTTACTGTCACTAATGTGCAAAATGGAGGCTGACCCAACCCGTTAAAATATTATGGGAAATATTAAGGGCATGACGCATAAACCATAGCAGATATTTTTTGAAGCATGGCCTGCAAATTCGAGAACTTGAATGTCTGATTATAGGTACTTGGTGTTTGATTCTTCTCATATTTGTATATGATCTTTTCCTTTGGACATAGTTCTATTGATTCCATCCAAATATAATAGTTCTTTTTCTTTCTAAATCTGTTCTCAGGTGTGCGTGATGAAAGTGACCGTTCATATAATCCCAAAATTGTGCGGATTGGTCTTAAGGCTCATCATTCAGTCCAAGCAGTGTCCATGGATGAGATGGTGTGTATCTGGCATAAATGACACAACATTGAATTTCGCTTTATAATTATTGTTACCCTTTAACTGAGAGTACACATAAATGTGCCATAGAATGTGTACAAATTAAACGAAATCAAAAGTTGATAAAATGTTAGTTAGATCATCAACAGGCCTTGCAAATGTTTATCCACTGAATTTTGTTAGAAGATAATTCTAGAATCTACTCGATAAGAGACCTCTCTCTCTAACTAGTGCTGAAATCTCAAGAGACTCTTTGCCTCTTCGAAATGCAATTGGTGATGACTGATCTGTCAAGACCAATAAACTGCTCAATTCTTGTCACTGCTATCTTTTCCAATATTTTTTTCCCCTATTCTTCCTAATTGGTGGTTTCAATGGACTAATTTATGGATTCTTGTCACTGCTGTTTTTATGGATTTGACATTATTCTCTACATGACCTTGAAAGAATCAAAACCCATATGAATGAGATCAAGTGCCATAACGGTTTCCATTTGTTGAAAGTGTAGAATCAAGTCCCTGTTGGGTGATTCCTTAAAAAGTTCTTTTATAACCCAAAAACACTTTTACCTTTTTTCTACTAAGTGCTTCCAGAAGCAATTTTTGTTATCTGGAAGCCCTTTTAGCTCTTCTAATAGCACTGCCAAAAATTAACGTGTACACATGCAAAAGAGAAGGGTGCTTGAAGATTCAGTCTGAGGAAAATATTCAGACTGGAAGGTCTGAATAAAGCCTTTTCTGTCGTATTTAAAAGTCAGAGAACAGCTTTAATGTTTGTTGCATCTGAATGTTCACTTTTTTATGTAGAAAATCATACTGTTTTGATAGTTATTAGATATCTACTATATGGTAATAATGATGAATCTCTATCTCTTATCTGTTATGGATGCCTGATTATAAAAATGATGCACCTAGTGGTAAAATCTGTGTTACTTGAACATGACCAGACAGTTTTTTTTAAATGTGTTACTTGAAGTTAATCAAAAGGAACCTGTTGCAGGTAGAACGAAAGAAAGGAAGCATGGGGGGTAGTAAAGACAGAGATGGAGGTGCTGATAGGTTTCGAGCAGAAATTTTGGAGGAGGCAGTTATTGTATGTTGCATTTGCATTTTGTTTTAACTGAAGGATTACACATTAAGTTTAATTTTTAATGGATGTATGATTGGCAGGTCTTCTCTACCCTTAGCTTTAGTGGTTCACCTCTTTTCAGTAAATACAATCGCGGTTTTGATGTAGTTATAATAGATGAAGCTGCACAAGCTGTAAGTTGTGCAATCCTTTATTTGTTTTTTTGTTTTTTTTGCTTTTTCACAATTTTAGTTTGTAACAATTTCCTTACTTATATTTAGACTTTCTGTCGATGACCATGTAGAGCATGTTAACAATAATGGAGAGTATTAGAATTTTAGGGATTTTTTATTATTAAGACTCATTAGCAGCAATGCGTCCATTTGTAAATATGTTGGTGTCTGGATTATGGTTTTTTTTTAATAATGTATTTTAGGAATCTTTAATTCCTAACTTTGTATATATTGTTGACCCAAGAAAAAAAATTGTATATACTGAAGCATACCTTAGAACTTGAAAGTATTTAAATTTCTTATTTATAATGTGTTTACATGGTCGTGCCGACAAATAAAAAACTTTCAAATTAAAAGATAAAATAAAGAAGAAAAATGAAGGTGAGCTGTTTTTTCAAAGTAATGGAGCTGGCAATTGTTAAAAAAGAAAAAGAAAAAGAAGTTGCTTCCCCATGGATTGGAGACCCTATGGATGGCTGCTCCATGGTGGCTAGTGATGGTGACCATAGAGCTAGCCTCCTTTTTCTTTTTTGTTCTGAAAGTCTAGCGGAGTGGCATTTTAGTAATTAGCTGTCTGTTTAATTTTTAATTGATTTGACATTGGAATTCTCAAGTCTTAAATTTGGAGGACCCCATATTTCTAGGGAGCTTCAATTGAGAGATCCCTCAAATAACCTTATTTGAGGGACACCTTTGTAGGACTCACTCTGTATTGTAGTGTAATGATCCGAACTGTCAAGTTTTTAGGTCTTCGCTCAAAGCTCAAACCATAAACTATCTAATCAAATGAATTCATTTCAGCCTTTTTTGTTTTCTGGGAACCCGTATTCATCTATTTGTTTTACCACAATTAGTTGTCTTTATGGTTTACGATTTGTCTAATATTTTTTAGGATTATGAATGAATGAAGAAATGAAAAATAGATGGTTTCGGATCATATGCAATGACGAGTGGGCCCAGAAGGTGTCCCCAAATTTGTGTTCTTTGAGGATCTCTCAATAGAACAGGACTTATATATGTATTTGTATTGGGGATGAGGTTCTAATTGCGCCATTAAAATATAGAGGTCATCCGTAGTTGAAAGTTAGGTTGCTGTGCTGGATGGCGTTCTAGTTCAGAATTAGGTTACCTGTGCTTGATGGGAGAATAGGTTGACAATCTTAGAGTTCAATCAGCAAGTGTTTCTTTAAACTGTTTGGATGGTGAGTGAAATATTTCGTGCGTAAATTTTATGTCTATCTTTCACTTTAACCGATTATATAACTACTCTGGTATCTCATAAAATAAAAATTTAACTACCATAGTTGAATGGCTGGTTTTCTTATTTGTTTTTCTTTTCTCCATGAAGTGCCTTTCCAATACTAAATATAAACTAGAAATTAATTTCTCCACGTATCCATGTTTGGTTTTGCATAGAAGGTAGTTGAGTTTCGTAATTTGGAATGAAAATTTGTTGACTTCTAGTTATGTATTCTTTATATAGGTGGAACCAGCTATTCTTGTTCCATTGACAAATGGGTGCAAACAAGTATTTCTGGTAAATTTCTGATGCAAGTAGTTTGTGTTACCGCTATTTCTACTGTGCACCAGGTCTTGCACTTTAAAAATATTTATGCTTCAAGTCATGATTAATTTTGAATCTTTTAACATTTAGATTGGTGACCCGGTTCAACTGCCAGCTACTGTAATTTCTCCCATTGCTGCTGAATTTGGGTAAACCACGATGATTATGATTTTTTTCTGTCATTTGATTGATTTGTAGGTTAAATATCTGACTCTCTCTCTCTCTCTCTCTCTCTCTCTCTGTGTTTTCTGGTTGAAGGTATGGAATGAGTTTGTTTGAGAGATTTCAAAGGGCTGGTTATCCAGTGACCATGCTGAAGATGCAGTACCGAATGCATCCAGAGGTTAGATCAGAAACTTCTGTTGGTTTTTTTTCTTTTTCTGAAAATTGTTAGAATACAAAATAATTGATGCCCCATATTCTCTTATAACTTAAGGTTTTGGTCTGTGGTACACCAATAGAATTCATTATGGTACTAGAACAAATTGATCAGTTCATAATAATATCACTGTCATATAAAATAGTTGTTGGGCCCATGTCTTAATTTCTTAAGCTTTTAAAAATGGTTTTAAACCAACAAAATCGAGAAATATAAATTAAGTTAATGGTACTTTGGAATGTGGAACAATATCCTGTCAAACAACAACATGACACTGCTTGAACAAGCAAGCCAATCCTAAGAAGTAGGATATGGTTACTACGAGGAAGCGGATATGGAATAATATACTTCTAAATTTGATATATAACTAGATTTACAAACTAGAATTAAGATTCATTTTATTTTTCACTCATATTGAAATGTTTTGGGAGAAGGCTGAAAATTATTTAACAACTCTCTGTTATTGACACATGTAAAATTAGGAAAACAAGTCTTGAACAATGGTACAGTTTGGGATTTTTGTTATTGCCAAAGCAACTGTAAATAATTAAAGTTCATTTTATTTTTTCACTGATGTTGGAATGTTTAGAATTAGAAGATTACAAAAATATCTAACTACTATCTGGTACTGACATATGTACAAGTAATTAGGAAAACCAGTCCCAAACAAAGAACCAGTTTGGGTGATTCTGTTGCTATTTCCGTAGTTACTGTTCATAAGTGGCCAATCTGTAGCTTGAAAATTACTTGATATTATTTTGTTGAATTTGTGCTAAAGTATTTGTATAAGTTGTGCTTAGTGTCTAAAATAGATACTGCAGCTGCTGCTTCTTTTGAAAAGCACCCTGATCTGGTTTCTCTTCCTGGCTTTAATTTTCACAAGTATACATCAGAAAATGCCCTTGGGCTGATTTCCATAGTATAAGCACAAACATCTCTCAATAAACATTACCAAATATGCCAAAGATATTGGGCCAGGTGATGCAGCAGGTAATGAGAAAAATTGATTATTTGGGGAACTATAGAGAGAAGAAGCCATGGTACATTCATGGAGGAAAATGTCGCCGATATCGGCAATTCATCGGTGGACATATCGGAAAGGAGGAATGCTTTTTCCCCCTGCCACTGTATTGCCGATATCAGCGAATAACGGCTTGTTATTGCTGATTCCCAGATAAATCGTAGAAATAACTCAAAAACAAAAAGCGAAAGGAGAAAATTTGTCTGAAGAAAGAGGGAGGAAAAGAAAATCCCTAAATCTCAACCAGAGTTGCAACCCCGATCTGGGTCACACTGTTGTTTCACAAAACTACACTTTTTCTGATGATGTCTTTGGAAAATTGACTTCATTAATTAGTTCAGAACATCTGTAACTTGGAAGTATCTATCAATGCTTCCAAAGTCACCCCAAATGTTGATGTAGACAAAACTTTAACTGGATCGGAGGTTTTGGGTGACAGTGAGTTCTTAGTTGGCAGGAGTGGGATGACATGCCTGTTTCTTTTATCAGACTATACTCTGTGTGCCGTTTTGGTTGAACGGGGTTTGGTGTGGGTAAGAAGGTGAACAGTTTGAGTCAAAAGACTCCTTGAGAAGAGCATATCATTTTTTCTCCTATGCTCTGACCAAGAAGAAAACATTATACCTAATGCCTTATTTCATTAAATGGTACAACCTCACGATATAGGCAGAAAGATAAATTACTCTTTAGTCTCGTATGGTTGCAGTCATCAGTCATATCCGAATTGATGTTAAACTTCTTACAACATATGAAACTGAATGTGACAGTAAGTAATAATCTAGTCTTGAATAAATACGACAGAAATATGTAAGTGAGCTTCCCCTGGGCCCTAAGCAATAACCATATTAATTATATTATCTGTAGTATTGTTTGAGTTTGGACTCTTTCTATCTCTGTTTTATCACATTTTAAAACTAAAATATGGTTCTGCTACTGAGATTTCAAAACCTAACGTATGGAAAAAAAAAATCCTGAGCAGATTAGGAGCTTTCCTTCTCGAGAGTTTTATTCAGAGTCATTGGAGGATGGTCCTAATGTCAAAGAGCAGACAAAGCGTTCCTGGCATGACTATCGCTGCTTTGGACCCTTTTGCTTTTTTGACTTACATGAGGCAAAAGAATCGGAGGACTCAGGAAGTAAATCTAATGATGCCGAGGTAGAATTTGTCATGCTCTTGTACAATAAGTTGGTCAGTAAATATCCAGAGCTTAAATCAAGTCATCAGTTCGCGATTATATCACCCTATGCTGCACAAGTAAACCTCTTGAAAGAACGTTTCAAAAGTACTTTTGGAGTGCAGTCTGAGAAAGTAGTGGATATTACTACTGTTGATGGTTGCCAGGTAGGATGGCTTTTTCTTCTCATAGTTTTTTTGGGATACAGCCTTCTAATTGTTGAAATACTAGACATTTGTTTTCTGTTTATAAGGTGATTTAACTTTTTCTTGTCAAGGGTTTTTTATGATTCCAAAGTTTTCAAGATCCGTTTCTTTAATGGAATATAGAATATCTCATTTGGTGTTTGTTGTATAGAGTTGTTGACATGCAGGATATTTCATGATTCTCATCATTATATTAAACTAGTGATATGAAGTTTTTCTCCTTGGGAGTAAAAACCATCAGTGGGATCTGGTGTGAAACATAAAGAATTTTAGCATTTTGACAACTCTCTCTACTATTGAGCTTCTGGCAGTTTGCATATGAAGATATTTAATGTTTCTTTCAGGGACGTGAAAAGGATGTTGCAATATTTTCTTGTGTCAGGGCAAGCGAGAAAGGAGCCATTGGGTTTTTGGCTGATTTCCGGCGAATGAATGTTGGGATCACTAGAGCAAAATCTTCTATCTTGGTTCGTCATAATTTCAAGTTAAGAATGAAGTTTTATATACTGACTGACTTCATCTAATATGCATTTTACGCATTGGCTTTTTTTGTATCAGGTAGTGGGATCTGCATCAACATTAAGGAAGGGTGACGAGCATTGGAATAACCTAGTGGAAAGTGCTGAAAAGAGAGACTCTGTATTTAAGGTGAATATTCTTTTTAAGAGTATAAAATCCCACATCAAACATTCTAAATTTCGCATCTCAATATGAAAAATCCTGGGCATCTTCAATATTATTAATGACAGTTTTGAGTCGGATACTCTTAACATGATAAAAGAAGAAAAGTACAAAACAATGCTTCAACATGAGAACTTTAACTTGATTTCAAGAGACACAATTCGTGCACATTTTAATACCAAAACGTATTGCCCGCTTCCTACAATCCGGCCTGAACCTTTGGGTAGGCTCTGCTCCTAAAATCGGCATTCATTCTATTAAGTTACTCTCAGTTCCGAAATCTGCCATTGTTCCACCAATGTATTGAATCAATTCTTTTTAATGAATAGATCCAATCGCAACTTCGAATATGGAATTCAAAGGGACGATATGTTTGATTTAGGCCAACCGCATAGGAGGGTTCATCGTTGGTCAAGAATTCTAAACCATGCAATTTTTTATGAGCTTTTGGGTCTCCCCACTTTCTTTTTAGTTTCCCTTGACCTATTGCTAATTCTTTTGAGTTGGCAACTTATATTAAGCTTGAGTCATTGTTATTACAATCTTCAGATTTCTTTTATACTCTTAACCAAGCAAGAGAAGTAAATTGGGGCTATAATCGTATACTATCGACTACAACATGGGTCTGTCAAGAATTTAACCGCAAGTCTACATCTCTCTCCCAATTTGTCTACTGCACAAAATTTCTTGTTTCAACTTTGTTTTTATCTTGTTATGTCAAAGGCGTCTTTTAGGACAATTGCTTTCCAGCCAATACTTATCTTTTAATGTTATTCATAAATTTGTGATTCAATCATATGACGTCTTGTGGTGACTTGTATATCTTTAATGCAGGTTTCGAAGCCGTATGCTTCATTTTTCAGAGATGAGAATCTGGAATCCATGGCAATCAAGAAAGAATCCTCCATGGAGGAAGTTCAGAATGATGAGCTGGATAACGATCCAGGTTCCTACAATTTTGGGGATGCTGACCAAGCACAGGGAGATGACAATGACTATGGAGATGGAGACGGAGAGGCAGACATGGGTGATGGCGGCGATGACTGAATTGTAATATGACTATGGAGAGTGGGGCGTCGATGATTTTGGGAAGCTTGTTGTGTAGTTTTCACTACCATCAGCTGTTAAGATGCATAGACCCCCACTCACAATTCTTGTATATCAATAGAAACTATCAACATTTAGAGTCGGTCTATTTAATTTAATACATGAATCCGATATCATTTGACTACTCAATTAAATTATTGAAATTTAAGTACTTTCTTAAAGCACCGTGTTAATTGATTTGTTGGTCGCATTTAGATGCCTTAATAATTTTCAATTTGCATGAATTTTTGCAGGGATGATTTCTTGCAAAAAATTAGACAAATCGGAAACCGTTTCAATATCCAATTGTGTTTTACAAAATCAATGAATACGGTGTTTCAAGAAAGTATTACAATTTCAATAATTTAATTGAATGGTTAACTGATATCGGATTCAAGTGATTTTTTGTAGAGATGATTTTTGAATGAGTATATACAAAATAGAGGTTCGAATTAGTGAAATACAATACGGAATGTGTCCTACAAGGGTGTCCCTTAAATAAGCTTATTTGAGAGATCTCTCAATGGAAGCTTTCTGTATATATGCATATATTTATTTTTTAATATTTTATTTATATTTTAATCAATTTAAAATTAAAAAAGATAAATGTGGGATCCATAGTCACGTAGGCAATTAACAGAGAGATATGACGGAAACTTAATGGTGGAATCACATTGTAACAAATTTAAAAGACTGGGGCTAAGTTATTGTAAAAATTAATAAGGACTAACATATATTAAGGGTGTAACTACAAGGTACTAAACTGTAATTAACCCTTCATATGTCTTTTCCTTTTTATTGGATTACATATTGGATTAATTACAGTTTAGTACTATGTAGTTACAGTCTTAAAACATGTTAGTCCCTACCTTTTCAATTTTTACAATAACATATCTTGGTCTTTTAAATTTGTTACAAGGGTTAATTACAATTTAGTACCCTATGGTTACACCTTTAAGACATGTTAGTCCCTAATTTCTCAATTTTAACAATTACATACCTCGGTCTTTTAAATTTTTTACAATGTTGATCCGCTGTTAAGAGTTTCTGTTAGATCTCTATGTTAGTTGCCTACGTGACATTGTGGGTTCCACATTTTTAAATTTTAAATTGATTAAAATATCAATAAAATATTAAAATTCTCTCTCTCTCTCTCTCTCTCTCTCTCTCTCTCATAGAGCTTCTACCAATCTTCAAGTCCTTCAACTTTTTGATAATCCTTTAAATTCTTTCGTGTTTTATTGGATAGCCAATAACAGCAACCTTGTATGTATTGAATTAGATGGAAATGATTTACAAGGTTCGATCCCAGACGTTTTCACAAACATGGTTTTTCTATTGGATAGCCAATAGCAGCCACCCTCCACCCCATCGCCCCCTTCCTCCAAATGAAGCCAGAACCCCAAAAGAAAATCGTGATTTTCTTCGACAAACACATATCTAATCGACTTAGAGGAATTTTTCATATATGTACAAAAGAACAAGGTCCAATCCCAACATTTAAAAGAGAAACACAACCTAAAAGAACAAAGAACCTAGAACCCCAGCCTACAACGAACCCAGAACCCAGCTCGCCGACCACTATCTCTCCATCCTACAGACCTTGTTACAGTCATTAGTCGGTGCTTTCCGGCGAGATTTGCCAGTCTTTATCTCTCTCTCTCTCTCTCTCTCTCTCTCTCTCTATGCAAATTCAAAAACTAACAAATTGGAAAAATAAAATAAAATAAAATAATTCAAACATTGTTTGTATCTGTGGGTGGGTTTGAGGGTTTGTTGGTGAAAAACACAATGTGGGAGGAGGGGGAGGGCTCTATGGGGTGGGGGGTTGTTGGGTGGTTGCGCTACGGTGGAGGGTGGCTATGGGTATGGGTTTGAGGGTTGGGTGTTGGAGCTTGATCAGGAGAACCCAGAGAGAGAGAGAGATAATTTTTAATATTTTATTCATATTTTAATCAATTTAAAATTAAAAAATGTGATGTATAACCCACAGTGCCACGTAGGCAACTAACTGAGAGATTTGACGGAGGCGGAACCACAGCCCAGAACCCCAACCTCCCTCCCCCGGGATTTCTTCTCCCTCCCCATGTGATTTCTTCCCCCACCCATATTTCTTCTTCCCCCCATGACTTCTTCTTCCCCACCCCAGATTTCTTCTCTACCCCCCACCCCCACCGATTTCTTCCCTCCATGTTGGCCTCCAAGGAATATCACAAGGTAAAACCAGACTCCCATCTCTCTCTCTCTCTCTCTCTCTCTCTCTCTCTCTCTCTCTCTCTGTGTCTTCCATTATGTTGTCCAGACGCGAACATGGGCTCTCTCACTGACTCCTAGTAGATCTCTTTGTTTGTGGTTTGAATCTCTGAATTTCGATTCAGATATGTGATTTGTACAACTTGTTTTCATTTGGGATGCTTCTTTTCCTATTTATGTAGCATTTTACTTTCTCCTTTTGCTTGTTCGTATATTTGTATGATAGGGTCTGGCATACAAAAAGATGGAAAGAGCAGAAATAGTAAAGGAAGACGTTGAAGAAAGAGTAAGGAAAGGAAAGAAAGTTGCAATTGTCATTTCAGCTGCCTAAACAAATGACACATTACATCTTTATAGTTACAGACAAGGGAACCCTAGATGATTGGGGACAAGTGGCGACAATCCCAAGGTAGATATGTTACTCAGTATTATTCTCTTAGTGCTAAGGAAAAACAAAGAACACTGGTCCCATAACCAAGTGGGCCTTCGTGATACTGGGCTTGCGGGTCTGAGAAGGGAGGTTGTAACAATTCTCCCCTTCTTAAGAAAGGCCTTACCTCGGGCCTGGAAGTGAGGAAAACGGGTAATGATATCTGTAGCAGCCTCCCAAGTGGCATTTGCAACAGGAAGGCCCTGCCATTTAATCAACCATTTGGTGGCCGCTGCATTTTTGAACTTAAAAATGCCCTTGTCGAGAATAGCTTCAGGAGTATCGGGGGGAAAGCTTGTGGCTATGGTGGGGGGCAACGGAATGCTAGCGATATGGATGAAGTTTAAGATAAACCCAGTCGCCACTAGCAAAAGTTCATTTCGTGCGTTTTCGATCATGGTTTGCTTCATTCTGTTATGTGTAAGGAGCAGGTTATCACGGAGAGGACGAAGGGTGACGTCAAGATTGCGAAGGGCGGTGTCAACTGCTTGAACTGCGGTAGTACCCATAATGTAAGAGTGGATTGATGGTGGGGGAATTCCGTAGAGGGCTTGGAAGGGAGGCACGCGAATGGCGGAGTGAAAACTAGTGTTATACCACCATTCAGCCCAAGGAAGGAGGGTGGACCAGGCCTTTGGTTAATCAACAGAGAAGCAACGGAGATAGTGTTCGAGGGTGCGATTGAGCACCTTGGTTTGGCCATCGGTTTGGGGGTGATAGGCGGTGCTGTGGCAGAGCTTGGTTCCTTGGGCTTTGAAGAAGGTAGACCAGAAATTGCTGAGGAAGGTAGGATCACGATCGGAGATTTTCGTTTTGGGCATGCCATGAAGGCGATAAACTTCCTTAATAAATAGGTCCGCTACTGTGGCAGCAGAATAAGGGTGGGCAAGGGCAATAAAATGTCCATATTTTGTCAAGCGATCAACCACAATAAGGATGACATCCTTCCCGCTGGATTTGGGCAAACCCTCTATGAAATCAAGGGCAATGTCCTGCCAAATGGTGGTAGGAATCGGGAGAGGTTGGAGTAAGCCTGGGGGGTGCTGGGTGGCGTAATTTTGGCGTTGACACTCATGGCCGGTGGCAACGAATGACTTGACAGCTTTACGGAGGCCTGGCCAGTGGAAGCTACGAGTGATGCGTTTGTAGGTGGGAAGAAAGACGGAGTGGCCCCCATCATGCGAGACATGAAATTCAGCGAGGATCTGAGGGCGCTAGGGAGAAGTTAGGGGAATGTATAAACCATATTTGTAGTAGATTGTGTCATTCCGAAGGTCAAATCCTTTGGGAGCAGTCTGGGGAGAGGCTTTGAGCTGAGAGAGAAAAGTGGATGTCGCAGTATCAGCGTGATATGATTGCTGGATGGCGGGAATGCAATTGAATATCGGGGTTGAAAGACCTATGATGGGTAATAATTCATGTTTGCAGGACAAAGCAACGAGAATGACGTTCAAATGGCCGGCTCGGTAAGCCACTATATAATTGTACCCTAAGAGCTTGACTAACCACTTTGCTACTGTGGAGTAGAGATACATTGCTCAAGAAAGTATTTTATGGCGCGGTGATCAGTGAGTATGGTAAAGTGTTGGCCCAGCAAGTATGGTCGCCAATGTTGGACTGCAAAAACGATGGCCATCATTTCTTTATCGTATGTGGAGAGGGCAAGATGACGGCCCGAAAGAGCCTTGCTGACAAAGGTAATGAGGTGTTTATCTTGACTGAGAATGGCCCTAATGCCATCGCCGGAAGTGTCTGTTTCAACCACAAAAGGCTTTTCAAAATTCGGGAGTGCCAGCACCGAAGTGGAGGCGAGCGCGTTCTTAGGGTGAAGGAAACCGAGGTAGACTCAGGGGACCAAGTGAAATGGCCCTGTTTGAGCATATCAGTGAGGGGTCGTCAGAGCAGGCCGAAATTGCAAACAAATTTTCGGTAATATCCGGCAAGACCCAAATTCACGGAGGCCGCGAAGAGTTTTTGGAAGCGGCCAAGTGGCAATGGACTGAATTTCGCTAGAGTCAACAGAGACCCCCTTGGTTGAAATGGTATGACCCAAGTAATCCACCTGTGGCTGGCCAAAGGAACATTTTGATAGCTTGACCTTGAGGTGATTCTCCCTGAGAATGTCAAGAATAGAGGCTAGATGCAAGAGGTGAGAGTCCAATTAAGGACTGTAGACAAGGATATCATCAAAAAAAACCAAAACATATTTTCGTAAATGAGGGCAAAAAATAGAGTTTATAAGTGATTGAAAGGTGGAAGGTGCGTTCGATTACCCGAACGGCATGACCAAGTATTCGTAGTGACCATCATGTATGCGGAACGCGGTTTTCTCAATGTCTGTCTCATGCATTCGGATTTGGTGGTAGTCGGATCGAAGATCCAATTTGGAAAAGATAGTGGCACCTTGGAGTTCATCAAGGAGTTCGTCTACCACGGGGATGGGAAAACAATCCTTAACGGTGTAAGCATTGAGGGAGCGGTAGCCAATA